CAAAGATGAAGTCTGGGATGATTTTACACATCTTGGATAGTTTTCCAAAAGTTACTGTCTTCAGAATAGTTTCTTTCCTATGGTAAAGGCCAGCAACAATCATAGGTTTCCTATGAGGTATCTGGGTGGTCATGAAATTCTGTACCTCATAACTACTGTGTTGTTTATGATGGCGGCAGATCCTCAGGCAGCTAGGGCGAAAAAGAGGTAGGAGTGATTTCTCTTTTAAAACAACTATAGATGGACTTAGTAGAGAAGGTCTGTAACTCCAGGTACTCCATAAGGTGAGGAAGGAGAATCACAGATTCAAGACGTACCTAGGTTCCTGAGTAAATCAAGGTTAAGCTTGTAAACTTAGTGAAACCCTGTATCAAAATAAAAAGAGGACTGGAGATGGAGCTCAATGGATGAACAAATACTAAAATATATTTTTCCCTGAAGAATTAAAAGTAAATATGAATTTTATGTACTACTTTTTTTAGTAAAATAACTTGCTAAATTTTTTTACTGTTTTAGTTTTACACGACAGGGTTTCTCTGTAGCTTTGGAGGCTGTCCTGGAACTCACTCTGTAGACCAGGCTGGCCTTGAACTCACAGAGATCGACCTGCCTCTGCCTCCTGAGAGCTGGGATTAAAGGCGTGCGCCACCAACACCCAGCACTTGCTAATATTTTTATATTCTGGTAAATATCAAACTACAAAAAACTACAATCTATCAACTCTAAACTACAATTACATGTTCTTGCCAAGTTATTTTGTATCAAGTTACTAATTACATGGGCAATTCTAGTGCCATTCCATGGAATAATTACTGATAGAGGGTCTCTATTTTAAGCCTGCTTTGAAAAATGTGGACTTACTGGCTACTCTCCATAGACTGGATATATGTCGTTTAGGAAACAGAATAGACACAAACTGGTGTTTTAGAGTGACAAGCAATTTGGCCAATATATCCAAGACCTGGAAGGTCAGTTTCTTTCCTCATGTTTATAACTTCACATACTATTTTTAAACATTTTATGAAGTGAACAATATTTGCATGCCTTTGTATTTCTTTGTCAAAAACTTGAAGTGACCTTAGGAGCTCTTATCTCAGAAGTAGTGTAACTAACTAACCTGATAGCCAGCATAAAGGATACAGGGATTCTATTTTGGCCTATTACTTACTTTAAAATTTATCCTTTCTGACTTAAAAGTATCAGTTAGTTTTCTTGGTACCATGTTCTACAGAATGCTGCTATCAATATGTTTCACCATAGAGGCTTCATTTATTTTTCTCAATATTCTTGTACATGAAATAAACAACTATGAATGCCCGTGTCCCATCAATAAATTCTTAAAGGGCAAATCATAACAAATACACACATGTATATATAATTACAGCTGGTAAATATTGATGTTATTTCTGTTATAAGCCTTAGATCTATAAAGATAGTTTTCTGTTTTCTCTGTTCAGCAAGGCCACTTAAAATAAGTCCTCTGCACATCTAAAATAAGAAGCCATAAGAATAAAAGTCTAACTTCTTATTAGAAAACTCGGGATGAAGAAGATTCTGCCAGGAAGCATTACAGACTAAAATGTCACTGGGTAAAGATAGCTCAGTTCTCTTCAATTGCCTGCACCAGGCGCTACTTTTACATAGGAATTCTTCCTCTGAAGCAACCCTTAGCTTGAGGTGCCCACAGTTTTCTATTGTGAGGCACCTAATATATGCATGGCAAGCAGGACAAAGAGAGATTAAATGCTTGATAGTCAAATATTAAATCTTATAGCTTTGTCTGTTACTGGAAATGGGTATAATGAGTATTGACTTTTAGGTCTAATGGTTGTTGGGGTAATGAGAAAAATGGATCCGGAAATACAAAGAATGTGTTTGTATCCTATTTTCCATGAGGATACTCCAAAAAACATGCCAGAATACATCTTTCAAACACATTCTTTTGGGAAGTGAACCCAGGGAATAGGAAACAAGATCAGAGTGAGATGGAATGGAGGGGGCCTAATCCAAGGGTGTATTGCTGAGTAGGATATCCCCGTGGGAAATAAAGACCTGTTCCTGGTGGGGAATCATATAGAATACCCTTGAGAATTGTTGACTGACACAAAATAAGGGGTAGCCTGACTCTCATAGGATAAAATTAACAGCAGAGAATATCAATATTATCTTATTTCAGAAGTCTGAGTAGGAAGTAAAGAGTGTATGGGGCAACAAGCAGGAGAGTCACATTACACAACTGAGGTAAGGTGTCAAGAATCTGTGTGGAGCTAATTGACTCAATAATGGGCAGAAAAGCTTCAAAACGCACCCCCGCAAAAAATCAATGGGCAGAGTAAACCCTTGGGTTGAGGGGATGTGACAGGGACATGAAGACATCTAGTAACCCTCCAATAGTAACAGTTATTCATTGTGAGTATCATGCCCACTCAGTCTACTTTCTTTGCCTGAAAAGAGACAGGAGCATCCCCTTCCCTGCCTGTTCATCACAGCGATCCCAAAAGAGCATTGTGAAACTGCTTGGAAAATAAGCCACTAGAAACTTGAAAGTTTCTGAGGATATTGGAGACCTTGGGCATAGCCAGAAAATGTGGAAGAGATTAGAGAAAGTGTGGAGGTCAGGAGAACCCCTGCCTTCATGTGACAGTTCTAAAACAGCAATGGGCCAGAACAGAGGACACACGTAAGTGATAACAGCATCACATTTAGCATTTGGGAAAACAAATGTGTAACTTCAACACATAAGTTTTCCATTCATTGGAATATTAAAGGAATGTTTCTGGCCAGAATTAATATTGACTGACATAGACTTTTAGTGACTAATACATGAAGAGCTTATAATGCCTGGTCTACCTCAAACCAGCTTAAGATCTACATTTTAGTCATGGCTCCCTTCTCAGCTTTTAGACTTCAAATTCACTTTCTTCTACCATACTTTGACAATGAAAGCCTCCAGTTACATTATTAATTTCAGCCTTTTTAGATCTCTAAGACATCAACCAGCAGCTCCCCTTCTCTACTCAAGTTGTATGACAGTTACACTTTAATTCCTACATAATTTTGCATATTTAATGAAGGTTAAACACAATGTTTATATAAATTCTCCTCTGAAGTATAGTTATAGGTGTGCATGCATTATAGATATAATTACAGTTAGGGATATTCTGTATGGCACCCCTTGAAGGAACCACTTTGAGAAAAGAACTCCTACTGGTGTTTGAAATGATAATGGACGTTCAGCGACGAACAACTGAACTTCTGCAAGCTGTGACCCTATAGGCTTCCCTCTGTAGTTTCCTAATGTTCCATCCTACTTCTTTTCATGTACTTTTCATTGGGGTGGTTGCAGCAAATACCTCACAAGGAAAAAGTACAGATCCTGGAGCTGCTAACCTAGTCTTCAAGATTGCCATAGATGTGTAGTACCTGTGACATCCCTCTTGACTTCTCTCTTAGTCATTGGTAGTTTTATGAAATCTTAGTTCTATTTTTACCCTCAGTGTGAACAGTATCTGCATACCAAATATCTCTGGATGCATACACTATTCCATTTTAAAATTTCAAACACCTTCAAAGAATGTCTAGTTCTTCTATTTTGAGATTCTATGAAAGTCTGTCCCCCTATGCCTACACTTTAAATTTTAGGATCTTAGTTATTTCCCTAAGCTAACATGAGAGTGGCTGTGATGTGTCAGGAACTACATGGCTCTTGGGAATTCAGGGGTGGAAGCTAGGATTGATTGCCTGCATCCTCCAAGGAAGTCCCAGTTTAATTTTGTGTCATAATAAATCATACTAAAGAATGATGAAAGTTGGAGTGGGTAACATTGGGGATTTGGTGTTTCTCAGTCAGTTTTCAGTTGGCAATGGAAGTCTTAGGACAGGTGACTCCAGGATAGAGTTGTTGAGGGAGATCTGGGAAAGAAGAGGGGACAAGCTCCCAAATACACCTGTCTTCTCCCCTGTGTGACAGGCAGGTCAAGTGTGTAGTGAGTGATGCACAAAGACAAACTCACGTGAAAAAGAGAAAACTGCATGTCAGTCTAAGGCTTGATGCAGATAGAAGACTTGTGCTTGTCCTCATACTTTATTTTTTTGTTCACTTTGTAGCTTTTGTGACTTTTCTCCTGTGTATTCAACAACAAGTACTGACCATCTGCTACATGCTAGTATTTGGTAATACCACAATATAACACTAGTTGCTGAAGAAATAGGTGTGATTCTTCATGGATATTCATATCTACTGCCTAGATGCATACATGTAACATTAAAGGATACACACACACACACACACACATGCACACACACACACATGGACTGGGAGAGAGAGAGAGAGCGAGAGAGAGAGAGAGAGAGAGAAAGAGAGAGAGAGAGGACCTGAGAGAGAAGGGGGCAAGGAAGATTATAGCCATTATTTATATGATAGCATAGAGCAATGGTTCTCAATGTGTACGGGTTGCAACCTCTTTGGTGGTAACATATCAGGTTATGATTCATAACAATAGCAAAATTACAGTTATGAAGTAGCAATAAAATAATTTTATGGTTGGGAATCACTACAACACGAGGAACTGTATTAAAGGGTTGCAGCATTAGGAAGACTGAGAAACACTGGCATAGAAGAAGCAGTGTTAAATCCTCCACATAGAGGAGAGAGAAAAATTTTTTATAGGCAGGGCTTTGCATTGAATCTGCTTGCTAACTTTGTGTATTCTCGCAACCAGGGCAGCAATGTAGATTATAGGTGTGGATGACGTGACATAGGACCGTGGTTTCTTTACATAGAACTGTCAGCCACCAAATTGCCAGCACTTTTCTTTATTACTATAAAGCAAGCTAGTCTCTTTGCAGTGGCTGTGAAGACGATAAGCAGCTTACCTCAGGAAGTGGTGTCATTCTGTTACTTTGCTGACTGATCACGTAACCAAGTAAACTCTCCTGCTTGTTAACATTGGCACCTCAGTGCCTGTAACGTCACCACCATTTGTGTCTGAACTTTGGAATCGAAGCACAGAGTTAGGGTGGGGATCTAAGAAGGGAGCTCTTGGGTTTACACTTGTTCAGAGTAACTCATTTCTCATTTCTTTTTGCCATTTCTGCATTAAATGTTTTCCTCTTGGATTGCTTAGCATTTGACTAGATGGTATGGAGTCCTAATGAAGGTAAGAAAATCTTTAATACTATTTATATATAGATCTTAGAGTTGGGCATGATTGAATCAAATGTGTATTGTTTTTACTTGACACATTACTTTTATGTTAGGGAAAACATAATTGGTCTTTTAAATCAATTGGATATATATGTGTGTATATATATATATTACATGTACAAAACAAATAATAGAAAGATGGCATAGAGAGTACTGCTGACATTTTAAATAGAAGAATTTAACAAAAATGAGAGGTCCTAATGTTCTGACAAGACATGGAAGGCAGGGCTGAGGAATGCTTGTTTAAAAGTATTTGAGGACTTTTGATTTCAGTAGGTATATTCTGTAATATCTAGTTACAATATAGGCCTTTTTAGCTACCTGAAAGTGGCAAACTTCACCCCTGTCATAGCTGGAGGAGATGGGGAAGAACGGGGCAATGATGTTTTAGCAGAAGCATCGGGTGATTTTACAAGTCTCTGAGACATTTTTACTATCTCAAGGGAAAGTCATTAAGTTGATTTTATTTTTAATGTGCAAGAAGTGATTTTTCTAAAATTAATATTTAATACTTGTTAGAACTTTATTGTTTGAGACTTTGTATAATAAAAAATAGCAGTAGATAATTTGGGTCTGTGTTGCTGCAGTTTGATGAAGTGAAACTGAGTCTCTTCATTTCCTGGAAATTGGTAGAAACTGTCTGCTCAGAACACTGAACTGGTGCTGACTTTGTACTGTCATCTTAGTGCAAAGATTAAGCAGGTTTGTAGATGCCAAGGTTATAGTCTGCAGCAGCAAACAGTCCTTGGGAAAGCCTGTTTCATCATTAACTACTTGTGTTTTTTTTCTGATCCTTAGTTGCCTACTTTGTAAAAGGAAGTAGACAGAAGTGCCTGTGTTAGCTGAGGAAAAAATCAGTGAAATAACTTACCATGTTTAGCAAGGTGACTGCTATGTAAAGAGTATTCAATAAATATTGATTATAACTATGTAAATCTATTTTAGTATGTGAATATAAAAGATAAACAAATAATGCCCTGTATCATGAACCAACTGTAAGAGTTTGGTGATTCTTAGTAAAGTCTTTGAATAAGATCCTGCCAGCTGTAAAACTTGCTCCTGGCCTAAGCTGGGCTTTTTTTGTTGTTATTGTTGTTCATTTGCTTTCCTTTTTCTTTCCCATTTATCTGTCTGTGTATATCTCATCTGTCTATTTTTCTGGTTGTCTATCGTCTATCTTTCTACATTCTTGCCTATATAACTCCTGTGTGTGTGTGTGTGTGTGTGTGTGTGTGTGTGTGTGTGTGTGTGTGTGTGTGGTGTTGGAGATTACCACAGTGTGCTGTGCGGATGTCAAAGAGCATCTTCTGGGAGTTGATCTTTTCCTCTTATCATGTTTGTTCCAAGAATCTAACTCAGGTGATCAGGCTCAGCTGGCAACAGTCTCCTTTACCTGCCAACACATCTCACTGGCTCCATTTCCTTTTCTGATAATTTTTAAGATTAAATTTGTTTTTAATTATGTGTGTGCTTGCAGGGGAATGGTTATTCCCATACAAGTGCAGGTGTCCTCAGAGGCCTGAAAAGGGTGTTGGATTCTGTAGAGATGGAGGTAGAGGCAGTTGTGACCCATCTGACATGGATGCTTGGAACCGAACTTGGGTCCTCTCTAGACCCATTTCTGAGAATTCTAAGCAGATTTTTTGGATGTGTTTGTTTTCTTCTAGAGTTATGCTTTTGCAGTCTTTTTTCCATAAGGTATATCCTATTCAACTAAAAAGTTTCCCCTATATGTTTCCTCTCTACAAACTGAGATACACTTCACCTTCTCCTGGACCCCAGGGTCTCTTTGTTTTTCACATCCCTGTTTCTTCTTCGAGATGGTTTGAAATATTTCACTGTTCCTTCTTCTCTTTAGGGATTTTGAGGGTAACCTAGCATGGCTTCACTTTGTTTGACCAATTCTTGCAATCTTTTTCTATAAGAGTTGTGTCTCTGTCCCTATCAATTCGAGCAGCCTCAAGGCAAGGAAATTTTGCAACTTCTTGCAACCAAGCAGTATATCTTATTGCCTTTTCTCTACGTTTCCTACCTAATCCTTCTTCTATCATTTCTCTTGACCTAACCTGTGTGACCCTTATTTGTGGGCACTCCTCCCGGAGCGAGTTCAATAGTCACTATGTTGTTTCCTGCTCGTTATAAAAGGTTAAGCTGGTTTAACCCATGAGTATCCTCATTCAGATGGACATTGAGCTGTGTCATACGCTGAGAAAACAGTACACCTCCCAAGCTGATCCTTGGTTTTTGTCTGCTGTTTGTGTACAGCATCGTCTCACACAAGATTATACACTTACTGAGTTGAACTCATTTTTCTAGTTGGGAAATGAGTATTGATATGATGATCTAGCATTTTGTCCTTATATAGTAACTTGAGATTGAAGGAGGAAGTTGTCTCAGTTCACTTTGTTTTCCTGTTTGAATACGGTTAATTAATTATTTATTTGATAGCAGATCTGCAGGTGTCAACCCTAGAGTGACTAGAAACGTGTGAATACTTCACCATCCTGAATTCAGCCTGCCTCCCACTGTTTTACTGATAGAACGCTGACAGAGGCAGGCACTTCATTAACTATCTGAGGCATCTCTCAACTTTTTCCCTTGCGATTTTACTTTGATTTGTTCAGGTTACTGGTGAGGAGTCCTGGGTTCCGAAAACCAAAATGGCATTCATTGCATTCGAGGGAAATGGGGCACTTGTAACATGAATAAATAAATGACCCAGAGATTGATATTGGGCTTCAACCTTCCAGCTGAATATCAAAAAAGCAACATAGCTGGCTACTAGCTCTCACCTCTAGCTCAGGCTGAAAGGGCTGATCCTGTCTCCACGAGCTCTCATCAAGCCTCACACTATAACCTCTCCTCAGCATGCCTGGAGAATGAGGCTGGAGAATGAATGCCCCTACCCTCAGCATGCCTGGAGAATGAATGCCCCTATCCTCAGCATGGATGAAGAATGAGTGCATCTACTGACTCCTAATACTGACTTATATACCTCTCATGAGCCCTCGGATTAAATGTGTGAGCTATAATTCTCTTTTAGACTGATTCAATCTTGTATAGATCAGGCCTTGTACTCACAGAGATCTGTCTATCGCTTAATCCTGAGTCCTAGGATTAAAGACATGTACCACCATCTCCTAACTTCTGGCTGCTGGGATTAAAGGTGTGTACCACCGCTGCCCTATCTCTATAGCTTAAGGCTGACTTTGCTTTTCTGAATCCTCAGTCAAGCTTAAATAAATAATAAATAATATATGACTACAGACACTCTTCTGGATCACCCAATTGTCATCCCTTTGAATTCTTACCCTTTTTCAATTTCTGTTCTGCATCCTCAGTGTAAGTCTTAGTAATGTCCTTAGTGTGTTCTTGTCACACAGAATTTTCAAAGGTGGTATCTTGTTTTTTTCTCTTTCTTTTTCTTTCTTTCTTCTTTTTCTTTTTTTAGGTCTCACTAAAGATATTGTACATGTGAGTCAATAAAGGCAGAGGATGTAATGAACTAACTTCATAAATAGTTCCTTTGGGTCCTGCTTTTTCTGTCTGGTGCTTATTCCCTCCATGAAAACAGCATGGAGTAATAGTCAAAGACTCGGCAACCCCCACCTCTGTCTTCTGTGTAGAAACCAAAGGTTATTTCTCTTTTTCTCACAATGAAATATCTTCCTTCTTGCTATATTTGATGTTCAAATGCTTCATTACTGTTTGTCATGCCTGTGAGTATGCTAAATTGACTTTTACTGGAAAGTAGACTGATTTAGGGTAAAGGGATTTGATTTTGTTTTAATTTCAAAGAATATTTCTATTTTTTTCTTGGCTCAGCTGCTCCATTTGGTGGCCTTTTTACTTCAGGCTGCACCATTTGTGTCCTCAGGATTAACCTCATTGACCCCAGCTATTTGAATTCATCAGACTAGCTCAACATATCAAGAATGGCTTCCAATGGGATGTATTTACAAGTTGTGTCTTAGCACTGGTTACCACTGAAAATTTTATTTCCTTGACTCTTCAATCCTCTGTGGTCTTACTATTTTGCTATGTTTGTCTTTAGTTCTTGCATGTCTCTGCATATATTCTGCCCATTACTTTACAGTTACACTATCCCTAATGTCTAGTCCTTTTATAGACTATGGTTATCTATCACACATTTAATGTGGTGTTTATTTCGCTCAGGATAGTCAAATTGGTTTGGAATAGTATACATGTGGCAGACTTAATTGGTTTCATCACTGCATTTAAGACTTTATAACACATAATGATAGCTGTAACTATAACCACCTTACATCACAGGACTACCAGAGGGCTAATTGCTGTGTTACATTTTTAGTTTCTTCACCTGAATTATTTACCATGGGTGGACACTAAGCAGTGTCTGCTTTCAGTTAGATAGCTCGACTGATTTTTCTTGTACGAGCTAAAAATCACATTCATGTGTTTAGACAATTTTGTTGGTCTTTTGTGAGTCTGAGGTGATCTTTCAGGACTTTGATTTCCTACAGTTTGAAGTATAATCTAAGCTCTACTTCAACTGTAGATTCAGCTCCATGCTTTATGTTCCCTCTTGTTTTAGGCTAGCCCAAACTTTGAAAAGAAAAGAAAACCAAATATTTCTCTCCAAACTTTGGTACTGGATTAGGTTCCTAAGACCACCACAAATGTGATGACTTTAAATTATAAAAACACTGTTTTGCAGTTCTGAAGCCCTAATTCTGAGATCTGGGGTTCAGGGGACACACAGCGCAGAGGAGCATTCTTGTTTGCTACTTCCTGGCCCTTCCTTGTGTGTCCTGAGATTTCTTGGTTGCAGCAGTGTGATTCTAACACCAACCCCCATCTTCTCCAGACCCTTTTTCTACCTGTTCTACTGTGTGTCCTTTTCTGACTCTCACTGGGATTTAGGGCACAGCCCAACCCAGGATGATCTTTTATCAGACCTTATCTTCTCCCTGT